CTCAAAAAAGAAACCTATCCAAGGCAGTATCACTAAGAAAAAACAGAAAGAACACAATGATCATATCACAATCATAGACATCCAATTTTGTACATACCTATCATCATAAAATAGATATAAAGACAAAGAAAACAGCAAAATGATAAATGTGGAAGCACATCTACCCAAATATTTCCAGGAGCAGAGAAACTTCTTCATCATTTGGAACCTCCAGAATCTGAGTCATAGAAAAGAGTTAACCTGCGGTTAACTTCCAGATCAGAAAGAACACTACCCAACATGCAAAATAATCAGAAAATTGACAAAATTACACTGGAGTGATAAATGGTAACAATTCCCAAATTTGTGGATCATATAAAAAAAATGTAAAAAGAGACCCTTTTTTACATGAATAATCGATTTGGATCTCTAATAATGGCATATGACACTAATTATATGGTATAGACAATAGAATAGCTAAGATATGCACAAACTTAGTTGTATAATAACAACAAGAGTTTAGCAATGTTTTGTGCTCTGATAAACAGAACATTGGATGTATCAGACTCCTTGACTAATAGATAGTTTCTTCCGTTTGAAAAAATTATTATTATTATTATTATAACAACAAGAGAATTTTGTAAATTATAAGCAATATAGCTAAACTAACCATGGACAATGTAATCCCTTCAAGAGCTTGGCTATAAAGAAACACATCCCGGAAATTCATGGGTTCACCCCCCACTTCCGTATCAACATAAAGAATCTGCAAATAACAATACAAAGCAAATAGAAACAATCTTCAAACATCAGTAAGCTTTTAAGTCACTTATTACCAAGTCCAAACTTTCTTTGCAACATGAAGTGTAACAAGTTGAATGTTGGTAATCTATCAACCTGATTCTCTCCAAGTAGTAGTTCAATATTGATGTTAGCAATTTTTCTACTGAAATAAAGATATTGTAACGGTGACATAATTAGTAAAGGAGCAAAAAGAAAATTATAATTTTCAAAAAAATAACAGTGCATTTGGCACAGGGTAGAAATCCTATTTTAGAGTTGTAATTCATGTTTAAGGGTCATAATTTATGTAGCAATTGAGTTGAAATTTTTCTACTGAAATAAAGATATTGTAACGGTGACATAATTAGTAAAGGAGCAAGAAGAAAATTATAATTTTCAAAAAAATAACAGTGCATTTGGCACAGGGTAGAAATCCTATTTTAGAGTTGTAATTCATGTTTAAGGGTCATAATTTATGTAGCAATTGAGTTGAAAAAGTTAATTAGTAACTTGATTCAAGTTTAGAATGTTTAATTGTTTTTCTAAGTGTCTAAAAAGTCTTGTATCATAAATTTGTACAGTTTAGTTAGAATGTAATTTAGGTGAAGTGTGTGTGTATATATCAGTTACACGGCTGAGAAACAAAAGGGTGACTATTTCACTAAAGCAAGATCTGTTCATAAGAATAGGGATGCTAAAGCAACTAATGTACTGACCGAGGAAACATTTCCATGGGATGAGTTGCTCTCATCAAATAAAGGGGTTTGTTTAAGAGATTTGTGATCAATTGAACTTCCATATACCCTTTCAGTTTCCTGCAAAGCAAACAACCATCTTCGTAGTAGCTGAACTCTCTCTGTTCCCCTGTAGGATACAGCAGCTTCTTCCAATCTTTTCACAGTTTGTTTGAAATTTCTATAGTTTTGAATACCCTGTAAAATAAAGGTAGTTCGTGACTTTAAACAGTAATCTCATCACAATCCTATACTAGAAACAAAGAAATGAAATTATGAAAATATCTTGTCTCAGCAATAATTATGTGATTATAACAAAAGTCAACCCATCCTGCAGTTTGGAAAGATTAGCATGTAAACTTAACCGGCAGCAAGTATTTTGGTTTATGCTCCTGCTATAAGATTTCTATGGATTGAGAACTTCATTAATTTTACCACTGAATGGAAATTATTAACATTAAGATCCCATAGAACATACCAAACAGACAAGATTAAGCTATAAAAATGACAATTAGAAAAAACTAGAAGAATTTCACATAATCTCAAGCTAAAGATTATTCCAGGAATATGTTAAAGTTCCAGACGAAGAACCAAAATGGGTGGAAAAGGAAAAAGGAAGAGGGAACAGAGAGTGGGTGTAGAATCAGAAAATTCTGCAACATGTGTAACATATTAGAGGTCTATTGATTGCCAGTAGCTGTCTGAGATTATAGGTGTAAAACATATCAACCACATTAAACAAAATTAATTTCCATTGATGATACAGGTTTTTTGCTATGAAGGGATTATTTGACTGCTTTAACCTCTAAACAGAAGAAAAGCTATGTTCAACTTGTTTAACAGAATTGACTCGTGACAGCTACAAACTTGTAGACTCCAAATATGAGTAACCCTTGCAGAAGTAGGAATCATAAATAGTTAGCATCACCTTTGTTCCATACCCAAGCAATAGTATCAGTTAGCCCTTAGAGCAGCTGACCCTAAGTATAATCTATAAGCATAACACAAGAAAATACAGCGATTTCACTCTACACAAGAACAATTAACCCTAAGTCAACGACTCCCACTTGTCATCGTTATTCCCCAATCACAATCGTTACGGTCCAAGAAGATGCTGCCGGACCAAGAGAAAAAGACGAGTAGACCGAATCGAGGGGGCAGCAGGGTCAAGAAGGAGACGTTCATACCATGCGATCTTGGAAGATCTTGGCGCCGCCGGCCACGGCCTGGCCGGCGTGGTGGACGACGGTGTCGGCGTAGTTCTTGACGGTGCGCGTGAGGTTGTTCTTGCCGCCGACCTCCACGGCCTTGTTGACGGCCGATCTCAGCCACGACATCGTGAAGGAGATGATAGAAACGACGAGGGGTTCAAGAAAGGGAGGGGAGGAGAGGAGAAGCGCAAGGGCGGAGGACGACGAGAGGTGGAGGAAGGTCCGAAGAGGAGAAGGAATCAGCGAGGGCGGACGGCGGCGGAAGAGTTCGCGGCGATGCGGTGGGGATGGGGAATGCGTCTGTTTGTACTACACCGCCGGCTGCCCTCAGGATAGATGATAATGGGTTGAGGATAGAATGGTAGGTGGCGTGGGGGGAGCAGATTAGCTACCATTACTGTGCTCCGCGTAGTATCTTAACACGTTGGTACGAAGGACCAGAGATGATGAACCCGAGCTGAGCCCGACCCACGAATTGCGGACTTGGAGATGCCCCGAGTTGACTTTGACCCGGTAATGGTTTGTTGCCCAAAAACCACGGTTGCCTCGAGTCAATTTACCGCTAACAAGTTGATGTTGGTAGTCAAAGAGTAAGCTCGACCGACCATTAGGAACAAGTCTATGATGATGGTGGTGCTTTAAGATCTTCAAACACAAAGATGTTAATGAGTACAAATCTGAAAGCAGATATTAATGATGATCTTATCTTCATGTAGAGTTTTGAAAGCAGACGGTGGAGATTGACGTGTAATTTATACATGCAACCCGATAAATATCACCCACTCCATTAAAGATTACTGTATTATTGTTACATTTTAGAAGGAAAAAAAAAACTTAAATTCTTCTTCTCCAATATATTACTCTTTTGCAGTTTGTACAGTATCATATGGTACTTTCCTATTGATTGGGATTGACTATAAATAAGTTACTTCTCAATCAATAACTATTTATTTTTTTAAATTAAAATAGTTAAAGAATACGTTTAAGATATTTATTTTTTAAAATTAAAACTAAACAAGATGCTAAATATGGTGTCGTTCCTCCCATTCCATCTTAATCGTTCTGTTCTATCGCATCAATTGCAGGTCTTAAAATATTCACTGTGTTCTCTTCGCGTTACTCTTCCGAGGAACTGCGTGTCTTCTCGGGAACACTCTCCTTCCTAGAGGACGTGTAGCTTCTCGAGTACATCTATCTGCATGAGTGAACGTTGACTCCCGTCAATGTTGCAGAACCACCTCCTCCTCCCATGAAGGATGGTGCTGCCATCAACACTGCCTGCTCTTCCTTCTTGCCACAGACTTCACGAACTCAGCGTCCGATTAGTGCCACTTGTGCTAGTACGTTCGCAGAGCATGCTCTCGCCGGCACACGGTTGTCGACGCAGCCCAGAGAAGATCTGCACCCAGAACTCATGGCTCATCATAACCGAGAAGGATAAGGTTAGGGCTTCAGCTGCAGCGAGAGAGAGTAGAAATAGGATTGGATGTTCTATAGCTCAAAAGGCATGACTATTAAACCTCAAATGATGATGAAGATATGCTGTGGCATCATGTTCTATTGCTCGATATGATTATTAGACCTCACTTTTGATTCTTCCTCTTCTTAATTGACACGTCAAAAGAAAGAATTTGGATTTAGCAGATGTAGATATGCGGTCGACTTATTCAGGGGCGTCATCACTGCTGTGTCCTTTGACCTGTTGCCAGCCGTGAAAGATCAGAGTAGTGTTGAGAGCAGAAGAACTGTCTCCATGGAGTCGACCACACAGGTAGGTTTAGATACGAGTTTGGTGACACAGCTATGGGGGAAGAACATGAGGCCTGCATGATTAAGGACGGAATGTGTTACGACCTTCACACACGCTGCAAATCTGCAACCTGTGATGAGCAGCACTTCCTGGAAAAGGCATCTGATCTCGGATATTATCTCCATTTTTAGTGTGGACGAAGCAAAGAAAACTCTCTCAGTAGATCCACGTTTGGTACGTGTTGGCTCATCCAAACCTGAACTACCGGTATCCCCCACACCGTCCGCCATCCCTTCGATTACTTAGTCCCAACTTCCAAACCACTCATGACGATGATACCATCTTAATCCATTTGAACGCCTCCATGCTTCGTTTCATGCATACGATAGCATGTAGCTTAACACCCTTACCTACTTACTCTTACCTATATTTTTCTGCCACATGACCTGTATCAGCGATTCGTACCCCATGTCGCTTTCAGTTATCGTTCCTCTGCTATAAATAGAGTTATGAAGAGATGGGATCGAGTGGCACGACTGAAGGCACCGCTTAGTCCGCCGCTACGAAGCAACAGTGGAACGCCTCGCTTCTCCACAGCTCTTCTTGGGTGTTGGGGTCACGCACACGATATCCCCGTGGATACCGTAACAGCGCGCTGCTATTTCGCCGTTTAGTCGCCGTCCCCGCTATCCTTATAAGAAGAGGGGATAGCCGAGCGGTGCGATGACCCGATTCGTGGAGAAGATATCCTTGTTCGACCGGCGATCATCACCGATGGCGGAGGCCGAGGACATCGCCCGCGACGGCCTGCTCGTCTACCACCACCCCCTGGCACCCGCCACCACCGACGCCCAAGCGGTCACCCTCGGTCAGCTCTTCAAGCACGTCGGCGACGCCCACAGCGGAGAGGGGGACGACGGTGATGCGGCCCCGCCGCCCCATCATGTCCTTGAACTCGACGAATTCTCCGCCGGAGCCGGCGGAGGTGACCACTTGAGCTCCCGTCCACCCACTTTCGTGCTCGCCTTCACGAATCTCTCGTACAGCGTGAAGAGACCCAGGAAGATGTCCTTGTTCCAGAGGAACCGGCTCGCCACGGATCCTGTCGCCGCACTCGCGCCGCCGGAAGCGTTCTCGAGAACCAAGACGCTATTGAATTCCATCTCCGGCGAGGCGAGGGAAGGTGAGATCTTCGCGGTGCTGGGGGCGAGCGGCTCCGGCAAGTCCACCCTGATCGACGCGCTCGCGAACCGTATCGTGAGGGACAGCCTGCAGGGCTCCATCACCCTCAACGGCGAGAAACTCGATGGGCGGCTGCTGAAGGTGATCTCCGCCTACGTGATGCAGGACGACCTCCTGTACCCCATGCTCACCGTGGAGGAGACCTTGATGTTCTCCGCCGAGTTCCGGCTGCCCCGCTCGCTCTCTGTTTCGAAGAAGAAGAGCCGGGTGCAAGCGCTCATCGACCAGCTCGGCCTCCGGTCCGCCGCCAAGACCATCATCGGCGACGAGATCCACCGCGGCGTATCCGGAGGCGAGCGCCGGCGGGTGTCGATCGGCATCGACATCATCCACGACCCGATCATCCTCTTCCTTGACGAGCCCACGTCGGGACTCGACTCCACCAGCGCGTTCATGGTGGTCAAGGTGTTGCAGCGGATTGCTCACAGCGGGAGCATCGTGATCATGTCGGTGCACCAGCCGAGTTACCGGATCCTCTGCCTCCTGGATCGCCTGCTCTTCCTCTCCCGCGGCCAGACAGTGTACAGTGGACCGCCGGAGGGCCTTCACCGGTTCTTCTCCGACTTCGGCCACCCGATCCCGGATAACGAGAACCCCACCGAGTTCGCGCTCGACCTCATCCGGGAGCTCGAGGGCACTCCGGCCGGTGCAAGGTCCCTCGTCGAGTTCAACAAGTCGCGCCAGGACGAACAACCGGCCCTGGTCCCTGCCGCAAGGTCATCTCTCTCTCTGAACGATGCCATCGGCGCCAGCATCTCGCGCGGCAAGCTCGTGTCGGGCACGACCGAGGGGACGACGTCGGCCTCGTCGGTCCAGAAGTACGCCAATCCATTCTGGATCGAGATGGGCGTGCTCACCAAGCGATCCTTCACCAACACGAAGCGGATGCCGGAGCTGTTCGCTATCCGCCTCGCCGCGGTGCTCCTCACCGGATTCATCCTGGCCACCATCTTCTGGCGCCTCGACAACTCGCCCAAGGGCGTTCAGGAACGGCTCGGATTCTTCGCCATAGCCATGTCCACCATGTTCTATACGTGCGCCGACGCACTCCCCATCTTCCTCCAGGAGCGCAATATCTTCATGAGGGAGACAGCCTACAACGCCTACCGCCGCTCGTCTTACGTCCTCTCGCACGCCATCGTCGGCTTCCCGCCGCTGATCCTCCTCTCCGTCGCCTTCGCCTTGACCACCTACTTCGCCGTCGGCCTGGCGGGGGGCATGCAGGGCTTCGTCTTCTTCGTGCTGATCATCCTGGCCTCGTTCTGGGCGGGGAGCGGGTTCGTGACGTTCCTCTCCGGCGTGGTGACACACGTCATGTTAGGCTACACCGTCGTCGTCGCGATCCTGGCCTACTTCCTGCTCTTCAGTGGCTTCTTCATCAACAGAGACCGCATCCACGACTACTGGATCTGGTTCCACTACCTATCCCTGGTCAAGTACCCCTACGAAGCAGTGATGCAGAACGAGTTCGACGACCGGCACAAGTGCTTCGTCAGAGGCGTTCAGATGTTCGACAACACGCCGCTAGGGGTCTTGCCGGACGCGATCAAGCTGAGGGTGCTCAAATCCATGAGCAACTCCTTAGGGGTGAACATAACCAGCCGCACATGCATCACCACCGGCACCGACATACTGAAGCAGCAGAGCATCACTCAGCTCAGCAAGTGGGACTGCCTGTGGGTGACAGTGGCATGGGGATTCCTGTTCAGGTTCCTCTTCTACATCAGCCTCCTGCTGGGGAGCCGGAACAAGAGGAGGTAAAGCGACAGAGCGAGAGCTACAGCACTGCGACTATCTCCTTTTGTATGAAGCTTCTCTTTCTTCTTCTTCTTCTTTTTTTTTGTTGTGTTAATGTTGGAGATGAACTAATTGTGATCTGTAAGTTAAATATCCACATCTTCTCCCTCTTCTACTACTTTGTTCACGGTTGTTCCTTTAGTTCTTCGATCTCCTCGGCGCTACAGATGATGGTTTGTTGGATCACGGCGGCTTTGTGGGCATGGACAGCTAAGATTCTGGTGATCTGCCGTGCTTTCGTGCAGGAGACATTCCTCGTTGAACTATCCCGTACGACTTGGCTGCATTATGGAATGTTTGTGGTGTTCTCGACTGGGATGATTCTGAGTACATTGAATGTGGTGTGGATTATTTATGACGATTTTGTTGGCAGTGGTTCGCCGGTCCACTGTAGTGACAGTTGAGACAGTTGGCTGGCGGCTTATCTCTCCCCGCTGCCATCAACGGCGTTCAAACCCGTCTCTCACCGACTCCAACTAATGGCACCAAACGCGCGTCTTCCTCCCATTCTTTAAGCGTGCATTGAGAACGAAGAGATTGGGAAGTCAGACACTCAACATGAGCTTCTACCTCATCTCTTTCCCTTAAATAAAGCATCACATTGACCTCACCCGCTCTAGCAATAGAGGGTTGATCGTTCCTATTTAACCCTATGACTGGACATGTCATAGGGTCAAAGTCAAAATGTCCAGTACCACAAGTGTGGGTTAAACCCAAGCCTACTGGGTCGCAGACCGAGCCACATTGGGCTGTACATTGGGCTGTGACAGTAAAGCCCACTTAGATAGAGATGTGAGTCATCAAGTATTGCAGGACTTTGCTGGCCTACGTACATGCATACACGTGTGTATGCGCGTGTGGCCCAGGCGACAGGGATCCGGAGGCGCTTTCCAACGCATCCTGGCCTTCCGTTACGTTTTGTGTGGTCCTTCCTCCTTCGCCACACGAGCGCGCATCAAGCGACGTGCCCTCCGCGGCCGCGAGCCATCGCGCAATCAGACGGCTCAGAAAAGGTTACGACGGACGCACGCAGACGAAAAAGAAAAGAAAAAGAAAAAACACGTGGCACCAATTGCGTTTTCCCGACCCGGAAGGGGAAGAAGCGGTCGGGGCCCCACGTGTGCTGTAGATCTCGTGCTGTCCCTCATAAATTCTCGCACGGACATGACTGATAACAATAGGGCAGACCACCACTTACAGGATCTACCAGTCTCATAACTTATTCTCTCTCATCTTTGTCATGCTCGAGTCGCAGCCACCACTTACTTCCCCATTACCCTTAAAGCTTGAAAGCTAAGACCCACTATTTTCTCTCTCTAACACTAGCAAGAAAATTAAAATATAAAGCCCACTACACGAGAACTCTTTAACTCCATGAAGCTTTTGCCACAAAAGAAATAAATCTTGAAGGGAGAAGGAACAAAAGAGGGGGAACTATCTAGGCCAACCATGGGTTTTCCATCTGTTCCAGGGTATTTAGATCAACCTAACTGGAACCAGGTGAGTGCTCCTCCTCCTCTTCCTCTTCCCCTTCATCTCTTTTCCTCATATTTGTTCGTTTCTCCGATTCCTTCTGTTTCCAAATGGTATAAGAAACTAAAAGATTCTCACACTTGTGCGATACCAGTGACAATAATTCTTGCTTTGTCCCTCTCTTACCTTGTTGTAATTACTGAAGCAGCAAGCTCATCAGCAGGTGAGCAGCAGCGGTGTGACGTGCCAGCTTCCGCCATTAATGGCAGCTCCGCAGACTGAAGGTGGGATGGTTGACTCGATCAGGCTTGGATCGATGGCGGACCGAGCTCGGTTCGCAAAGGTCCCTCAGCCGGAGCCAGGGCAGAAGTGCCCGCGCTGTGACTCCACCAACACCAAATTCTGTTACTTCAACAACTACTCCTTGTCGCAGCCCCGGCATTTCTGCAAGACATGCCGACGTTACTGGACGCGCGGCGGCGCCCTCCGCAACGTCCCCGTCGGCGGCGGCTGCCGCCGCAACAGGAGGACCAAGTCCACCGCTGGTAGCTCCTCGAAGTTCTCGACTACGGCCACTCAGACTGGAGCCTCCTCCTCCTCCTCCTCCCCGGCCACATCATCCGGCTTAGGTGGTGCAACAACATCCCACGTCCCGTTCCCTTCGCATCTGCCATTCATGGCCTCGTTGCACCCGCTTCCGGACTTCACGTCGAATAACTTCGCGATGAGCTTCTCCAGCATCCAACCCGCAAACACAATGGAGTATCAGCTGGGAGGGAGCAGCAGTAGCAGGGGTCCCTTCGATGGCTTTGGATTAGAGACTCTCAGGCTTCAGCAGATACAGCAGTTTCCATTACCAGGAGGACTGGAACTTCCGCAGCCGCCGCCAGCGGCAGCTGGTGAAGGCAGTGGGCTTCTTGAGGGGTTCATTACAGGGCAAGCTCAAACGAGACGACCGAATTCCGGGCTCATAACTCAGCTGGCGAAGATGGAGGACAGCCAACAACTGCTTGATCTCCCAGGGCGTTACCTTAATGCTTCCCGCAACGATCAATTCTGGAGTGGCAGCAGTGGCGGAGGCAGCAGCAGCGGCGCGGGCGGATGGGCGACGGATCTCTCAGGATTCAACTCCTCATCTGGAAGTATCTTGTGATCGTATGGTTCCCATGATTACGTTCTAACATGGAAGCTCAGTTTTTTACAATGGCTTCGAAGGGGCCTGCTTGACCGGAGAAGGAAGGATGAAGCAGTAGACTAATTACTGCAAGCCCGTATGATCTCTGATATGGTTTGTGGTGTCATGTTACTACTACACGCATCAAATCAAATGGTAGGCAGGCTTCTTCTTTCGGATTGTTAGGGTTGGTGCTTTGCCTGTGTTATAATGGGCTGTATGTTACAACACCATGGTCAGAGATATTTGATGGATCGGTAGGTGGCATGTCTGACTTTTAAGAAATCGTTGTGAGGGATTTATATGAACAATGTATATATCTACTTCATCATTTCTCAAAAGTTTAGGCATTCCCTAAATTTGCGATATGAGAATATTTAGTGCCATCATTTCTCATCCTTTTGTCTCTCTTTAATGTTATTGTGTTCCCTGTGGACTGCAAATTTTTTGCAACTTAGACATGTAGATGATCTCTACTGCCAAGAAAATTTTGATCGAGAGGATCTCTTCTTCAAGTTTTAGGTTTACATATCATGCTTTTACACGCAGCACTTCAATTCTTTTCAGCTCTTTGGTGTGATTCCATGCAGCTTAAAGCTCTCACCAAGCATTACTCATCATCTTTTGAGACATTACAAGGTAGAACAACTTTTGACCCACACTCCATGCATGCATCATAGTGTGTCTTCATGCCTTGCCATGCTTGTGCTTGTGCACAACCTTACATCTCCAATACTGATATTTAACTACAACTTGTTGCATAGTGTTGTATATCAGCAAGTGATAGTTTCTAGCTTAATCGAGTTCTGATTTCCATAAAGTTGCTAGTATATAAATGCATTGATATCCTTGTAAGACTAGTCATTTTAAATAAGCTGCTATATGTTCCTAAAATGACTGCTATTACTGTCTTTAATCTAGCTTATGCGCATGTGCATTTATGGATCCATGAACGAACATCAAGATAGGAGACAAAGAGACAACCTCTTTATTTGCTCAGTTTGTAGTTGGATTTGATTGGGACTCTTCCTCGGAATCATCTCCCTCTCTCTCTATCTCTCACTCCTCCCCTCGTCTTTAATATGATTGTCCTATTATTTCTACACATGTATACGTGTAAGTGGACTGTGCTATGGAACAACACAGAAGAGCCAAGATCTCACTAAAGCCCATGCATCCCACCAAAAATTCGTTGAGAAAACTTATGACCAAGGCTGGTCGTAGAAGAACACTCACTCATGCCAAGGAGTTAGAGGAAGAGGAGAGAGCGATAGAGTAAATTTCGGGAAAAAGTGAAATGGCTAAAAGCAACCATGTCCTATTTCTTACGAAAGCTCCATGCTTTAGGGAATCTGGGTTTTCGTCTCTTTCCCAAAGACCAATGCCGTCTCTTCCCATCTCTTCTTAGCTCTTAAGAGAATAAAGTTACTCTGAGGCCATGTACAGATAAAAAGGAAAAGAAAGAGAGAGAGAGAGAGAGAGAACGTTGTCAGATGGAGGTGTGACAGTAGAAGATTGAAACATGAGAAAGGAGAGAAAGAAGGCAAAGCAAAGGGCGTATGTGTACACTGTGTAAGGGGGCTCGGAAATCCATGCATACGATGGTGTATGGTACTGTTATGATGGTGTGGGGGTTGCACACACACATACCTGAGAGAGAGGTGTTCTTCTCTTTTGGGGAGCAGGCGAGGGGGCAACTTTAGCTTTATGAGTTGGCCCTCTCTTGCTTGGTGAAAGAGGATATTCCTCACTTTGCCTCACATGAGCCCAATCATGCATGCTTATAACTAATATATACTCATCTGCCATCCCATAGATACAGATTGGTAAGAAGATGCTAGGCAGATCTTCCTCTATGATTTCGCTGCTTGTACCATCCGCTGAATTGCATGTGGAAATGTTAAATAAGAAAAGGTCCAAGGTAAAAAGAAAGAAGAAAGTGACTCATGCCTCGAATTCAAAATTATCTATAGGAAGCAGAAGCATGGGAAGAATATATATCAAAGGGGTCTCTGAAAGTTCCTATATGATCTGCCCGTCAAAGATCCATGTTACACGGATTTTAAAATCATGAGCCACATGATTGATTAAGAAAAAGGCTTTCACAAGTTATGATTTCTTTCTAGTTGTGAGCATTTCGGAAGAGATACATCTTGAAGAAATACAACATCACTCAGAACCTTTAGCCATACACCAACCCGAATGCAATCAAATAATATTATGGCACACCTGCAAAAGAATATGTTTCAAACTCTAGTCTGATAAACCAGTGTCTAAAAGTCTAGTAAAGGGTTTAGCTTTCTGCTGGCAACTATATGCTGAGGGACATATGACACCTTACTTAATAGTTTCTACTGCTTTACAAGCATCCTGAACTTTCCTATTCTAGCTTCGGTAATTGTACACTAAAATCCATCAGCTCACTAGAAAATGCTTTGATTTGGGGGGATGAATCACACTCTTGGAACAAATATGAATAGTAGTAGCACGATGCAAGTCATCTGCCAGCTGGATGATATGTTCCGGTTTTGACATTAAGACAGACAATATATGATCCATATCAATAAAAAACTTGATAAATATCTGAACAACAACAAGAATGCATCATGATATATGATGCATGTGCATAACCTCATGTATGAAACAACATCATCTTATTAAAAATGACCACAATCTATTCTATCAAAAAAATTCTGATCCATCAGATTTCAACCGATGGATGTTCAACAACTTAGTTTCCTAAGAGTGATTTGCTTCGTAAAATCATAAATTGCATCCCTGAAAAGGCATCAGATTTGACTCTTATAGATTTGTTCTACTTCCTATAACACATCAAGAAACAATGGAAAGGTTCTCTTTTATATTTTAATTGACGCATATTGTCACTCTGCACCATTTAGATGTGAGTCTCCATCTATTCTGTCTGAAGTCTAAATTTATGCTCGTCTTTGACCATTCTACATGTACTGTTGCTTATCTAATGATGTATGAACAGAATAGCTCTGCCAGAGGCAAACGGAAGGCAAGGCAACTAAAAATATTTCAGAAAAATACATCTTAACTACTAAAGCATGCAGAATAAGATGGGCTACGCACCTAGCAAAGCTCTTCTGTCATTGTTGATTTGATAGTGGAATCTTGGATAGTTGGGGTTGCTTTGAAGGAGCCTTCACAGTGATGAGGACAGGGTGTGAGGGTTTTTGGAAGATGATGGGATGTCTGAGCTTTTTCCTTTTGTTTATCTGCGTGATGCTTGGTTTTATGTGCATCATCCCTCACTAAACCAAGCAGGAGCTGTTTATTTTAATGATTCTTCATTCTAAATGCATCATCTTCCACTAACCTACAGGAGGAAGGATTTTGTGAGGGCCAGGCATGGATGTTTCCAATCCATCAATGCTGGTTGTAGGAATGAAAACTTACATGTAACATGGTGCATGCTGATCTGATTAATCTGGTCTATTTTTCTAGCTATTGTCTAAATCCATATTTTCAAGCAAGAAAAGGTGGACTATGCTCCTAAATCAGACGGAGAAATTTACATCGAATCTAGTCAGGGATCAACAAGAGCTCCTTGAAGGCAATAGCACATCAGAGTCAAAAAGATAAAGTAGACAGGGAGCAGCAGATAAGCATACCCTTTATTATTGCACACTGCTGTTGATTGCCAGTTGCCTTTGTAAAGCTACATATGCTTGTAGCCGCTGTTGCTTTGTCTGTTTCCCCCAAAGCGTAAGTCTGCTCCAAAATGACTAGAATTAGCTCTTTCTACAGGGCAAGGGTCCTCTCCATTTAATGGATATTTATATTGGCAATGGGCCGCCGAGAATCAAAGTGATGCACAGCCCACCACAACTTCATGGTAACTATCACTAATGGTTGATTTACACTTGCTAATTCCTGTTAATTACATAAAAACCTACAATATATATGGCAGAATATAAATGGCAATTACATGATCAAGCTTAAGCGATATTTACCTTGACTGATGAATTAACTTGTGGGCAATCATGAATGGAACTCTGGAACAGTGTTTTCCACTGTTCCAACTGCTGTTATATCTTGGACAAAGAAGTCAGAAGTTCTTATCATTTCATCACATTGCTGCAGTTTCGAAGCAACTGTCTGACTTAAAAAAGAAAGATGATAATGGCCAGGCAGAAGTTCTTATCATTTCATCACATTGCTGCAGTTTCGGTATCAGGAAGCAACTGTCACTGGCAATCATGAGCCTCAGGACACAGATAAAATTACATAATGAATTTTGATCTGTCAATATCCAAAAATGAACACGCTCATCATTATTTTTGCGAGAAACCATCTGAGGTAAATAAAGGAAGAGTGAGGCATGGAAAACATGAGAATTGCCCTTTCTTTTAAGAATCCAAGCAGACGGGCAAGTGATACTGGCCAGGCAGTAGTGCTCTGCACCCTTGGATCAAAAAGAAGAATATATAGCTCAATTCTTACCATTTATCATTGTCAGTTACATGTTCCTTCCAGCAACACATGAATGATTCCTGGAGATGTTTATCAGCAAGCTAGCTGACCATATCTCAGCTTTTTCCGTAAGTACTTTCCATTACAAAAGGATATCACTTCTTCTTTACAGTCGCCCTCTTCCCTCTCCAAAAAAATTGATTAGCAGCTTCGTGTCATCCAGATCATTATGATTTGATAGAACTTGTAAGAAAGCAACATTGAGTTACATCTTATAACGACTGTTTTACTTAGTGAAGACCATTGACAACACCTGGTCGGTACTCTCCAATTCCAAGAAGATCCTAAGCAAAATAAGCTCTTGTTAATTAGAATTGAAAATAATGGACTCAGCCACTAATCATCACATTTTTGAAGTATTTATTACTGATAAAACAGTAGCCTAGTGTTTTCTTGAACTCCCACCTTTTTATACCTACTGGAGTGACAATTTTACAGGGAGAAACACAAAAGGAAAACAGAAATTGTTTGAGCTAAGATGTGAAAACAAGGATCAAAACTCATTCCAGATGTGAAAGCACGCAATATATGGATTCTAATTCTAAGTAAAGATACTACTGAGTTACCATTTCTTTTTCTTTTTGGTTAACTAGAAGTTTATGCAACCAGTTTATTCACATACTTATTCTACACTTTCATCAGTTGAACCTTCATACTAAGTTATCATCGCATAACTGTTAAACTAATTGTGGCAATGACAGGATGAGTGATAAACCAGGAATTGCCAAGCATGTATACTGAAAATAGCAAGGTGCTTACTTGGCAAGCTTTATTTTTAGCTCGAGTTTCAGCTGTACTAGGAATGTCATGGTTTGGTTTCAAAAACTTCTTCTCACGCCGGTCACATGAACCCCAGCCATCTGCGAACCTGCCGCATCTAGAATCAAGAACAGGGGAGAAGACATCAAGACTAAGAACAGGATTGATGAATCAAACAAAGTACAAGCCAGTAAAATAGTTCGTTTCTTGGGACAGGACATACTGCATATATGCACGAACAACAAATTCAGCACGCTGAACATTCCTGTTCTCATCAAACTCAATGGACTTGTCTCTAATTTCAAATGAGAGATTGAAGAAAAATGAAATCTTTCTCCATCCTGAAAAAAAGATGAGATTAAAATTGTTAGAGATATGATAAGAAGCCTAGTTAAAATAACTAAAGGAAATTCCGTCTACCTGACTTCTTAATAAAAGGATTCCCGTGTATCATGGTGTAGTCGGATTTTTCTAAAATCTGGAATAAAAAAATATACAGAAAGTAAGTATTTAGAAGCAATAGTTACAGTGTGAGTAATAGCCATTTCTCATAGTTAAAAAGATTAATCCTGAAATATTAGAGTCGTAGCACCGACGGGGTTTTGAAAGCCTAGCTTGGAAAGAAAGATTAGACCTTCAAATTAAGGTAATTATAATTTGATTTTGATGTAGCATTTGTAGTTCTATGCCATTGTCATCGAGTCATCGACACTGACACATATACAAGAAAAATGAATCAATTAATTCCTTAGTGATCAGGAACAACTTAGGTATGTAGATGAAAACCGAGACGTACTACGATCAGCTAAAGCATACAACTACCGAAGAGATCGTTCAATCAGACGCAAAGATGATAGCAAGAAAAATCTAGAACAAGACGTGCCATCTCGATGTAAGGAAGAGCAAGAAGAAAGAAACAAGAATTTACCGCCATTGCTGTGTTCTGGTAGTGCTTAAACGAAGACACCGAAGGGAACCGGCCACCCAAGCTGTGGCTCATGTTCTCCTTTTCCTCACTCTTCCATCCCTCAGGAGGTGGGCTCTCCACCACCGGACTCCCCGACTTCGCCACGAACCTTGCCTGATCCGGCGACCGATAAGACGGTGACGAGACTGCCACCACCGGCGGCCGCTGCGGATGCCTGACGACGACCATCCGGCGCTCGTCTACCACCGTCCCAGATTCCACGAACCTCGCCATCTTGCGGGGCCGGAGATGGTCCCAGTGCTCCTCCTGCACCACCTCCCCGTCCCGCGGAACCCTAGCCACCTCGCCTGTCACGCGCAGTTGCCTAGGGTTTCTGAACGACTTCGATCCCATCGGAGACGGGCTAAAGGCGAGGGGGTTGGGGTTCTTGAGGGGGAGGAGGGGATTCCGGGATCGTGAGGCGGCAGCGGTGTCGATCACGGCCCAGAGCTCGGCGTCGTCGAGATCGGGATCGTCCATGGGGAAGTGGAGGCCGGAGGGCGGAGCCCCGGCCGACATATGCGGCGGTGGGGACAGCGGAAGAGTTGAGCGATCGCGGAGGCGGCGGGGGTTTTCGAATTTGAAACAGGAGGGCGAGGCGGTCACATTCGCTCAAACCTTGGCTTTACCCGTCTTAGAATTGGGAAGAGATCTGATCCGACGGTCGAGATTTCTCGATCATCAGATTAAAGAACATCAGAACCGCGCATCAACTCTTATTATTCGGAAATGCCTCTCGGTAATTGTTATTTTCATAATAGGTCGTAAAACAAACCTCTTCGGAGATTACTATTTGCAATTTTTTTACTATACGTAATATTTATTTGTATTTTTTTAATGAATGCTAATATCATCTTTTTATTTTTCCTCGAATGCTAATAGCATAATGAAATCAATATTCTTGAGCGAGGTCGGATGATATCGATTGTGAAAGCAAGTGATGTCACCTCCAATTGTACCATATCAATCGTCGAGAATCATTGCATGGGTATCAACGATATCGATAACGATAACGAAAAGATACATTAGAATTAGTGATGAATAGTATTCATGACGAGGAGAGTTCATAATAATGATATCGACATTAAAATAAGATATTATAGAAGAAAAAAATAAAAAATAAAATCGATAATACTTAAATTATAAATAATTTATTAATTTTAAAGAGATTATGGTTAGTAAAGATTATTAATAGTAAAAAGGAACCATGAATAATAAATTTCTCACTAATTTCATTTATATATATTTTTAATAATATAATATGAGTACTAAGTGCCAACCACTCTACTATCGTTTCCTAATCTTCATTTAAACTATTTATGGTGAATATCCCAAATCACCAACTAAACATGATTGACTTTGACCTCTTTAGCTCTGACTAGAAGGCACCAACGACACAAGAATCTTTGATCGTCTCGTCCTTTAATGAGACAGGATTTAGTTTTGACCTCTTGGCTTTGACCAGAACAAGGCATCGAGATCTCCTCCCCATCTCCCAACCTTATCTCCACAGCGCACCGTCGACATGTTCTTTGTCATGGAGCTCACGGACGACGACGGAGTCGGCAGGAGTACCAAGCCAAGAGAGTCAAAGTGGGGGCTGTCTGCCTCGCCTAACCAAGCGCAGCAGAAGCATGGAGGAAGAGGCCGAGTTCTCTCACACATGGAGACAGAGCTCTCATGCATGCAGCTGCGCCCACCAGTACTGTCTAGCTTTCATCTGTGATTCAACGATGGCCTGTTCATGCATGATATCGACTACTACTGCACCACAGGCAAATGGGCGGATGGCAACGAACTTAATGTAGATGGAGAGTTTGGGGATCAACAGATGCTGCTCTTGAATTATTTCTTCTGCTTGTTTCGATCCTGGCTTCAACATCAGTGGTCTTTCAGGTCATTCTCGTGAGGTGGGCCTGCAAGATGATTCAATCATTCGAGGCCGAGACTGCTGCTGCAAGTGGCAGCCCTCCCTTTGACATCTCTGCTCATTCTTCTTCCTTCCCAAGGAAAAGACAATGCAGAAGAAGACACACAAAAGTAACAAAGTCTAAGCTTTTCTTTTCCCGCAGATTAAACTACATATCTTGCCAATTCCGAATAATTCTACATAAATATAATTTCATAATGTGAGAGTCACGGGATGAGATTCGTGATGTGCTAGTGGGAAAGCTTTGCCACTGCTCTTCAACAACCATTCTTTTGTTGCTATCTAACCATGTCATTAATCTATGAGGCTCATGCTTGACTTCTTGAGTTGTCTGGGGTCGTCTTCACACTGGTGCAAACAATTCCCAAGTCAGAAAGCAATGGCTTGGCTAGTATACCACCCCTTGAGCATATCGAATGGGTGCGTCATTGGTTCTTACTAATACGAGGCAGAGGAACGTTGCATATGCGATCTTATTTAATTAAATAAAATATACTATAAATATGGTTAGATTTTAATTAGGCTTATAGGTTAATAAAATTTCTTATTGGGATGACTTTGATGAAAGAGTCTTTTCTAATTATTTATTCTAGATCCTTTGTTGTCGTCTAGAAACCGTGTAGGGACTATAGAAGAAATATTATATATCTATTCTTATCTTCACTTAATCCTTATTTTTTACTTGTATAGTAGTCTGATGAAGAATAGGAAGAAGAGAGAAGACGAGTTTAGTTCTATATAATTGCTTCCTTTGAATTAAATGTTACTGCATTTGTAAATTGAGAAGAAAAGTATTATGAATGATATCGAAAAGTATATATCTTGATCTTGATCTATTGTTATTTGATTTTGATCCAAGCATTAATTTTTTTATATAATAATAATATGATTAAAATTTTTATGCTTACAATTGATATCAGAGCTTGTTTTGAAATCAAGTACCCTAGATCATAAAAGCATTAGATCTGTTTTGTGTTATCATCATTTGTTTGCGAAGGGTGATCTAATATATTTTGTTTATCCCGTTCACCTTAGTCGTATGCTTGTGAGCAATGGAGGATGTTGTCAGACCATGGTCAGAGGGCTGCCATAGGCAACTTGCGGCAACAACACTACGAAGGGTTTGTTGGCCGTTGGCCCTACCATAGGTGGAGACATTGTTGCATTTAGCATCATAGCAAAAGAGTGATAACCCTATTTAGTACATCACATTAGAGCATAATGGCATTATTATGTGTACCGGTGATGCTACGATCGGTGACTACATGACATGATGACACAATAAAAGGGTAGCGACCATAAGATCGTGACATAATAAATGTGTTGTATAGGGATAGATTACCATGGGAGAGAGTCACGACAATGGTTGAGCCCAACCAAATGGCTACTATTAGCTATTGGTTGAAATGATAAGTTTGAAAGGATTATATACAGTTTGAAATGATAAGTTTTTTATATGTTGATTTTGTAAATTACATCGATAATAGGATATTTATTATATGATTTATATTAATTGAAGGGATAATTTTTAAGAATAGTATAATATAAATTATATTATAAAAAAATAAAAATTAATTTTATCGTATGCTTTGAGGCTACTAATTAAGCTTTACGATTCTAAAATTTTATCTTAATACTTGGAGTAAAAGACTAATAATGTTATGACACATAAAAG